GGTGCAGGGGCCGGGGGCGGGCGAGCTGGGGGGACCCCCACCGGTGGGACTCGGCCTCCCGACTCCCGCAGTTCCGGGATGGTTTGGGGAGTTCTCGGGCTGCCTGTTTCTGATTTGGGGCGACTTTGCCCTTATGGTTTCTCAGTGCTTCCCCGGTTGCTGTTGGTCACTTGAGGTTGGGGGGGGGGACCCCAGCCACCCGGCGCGGCGATGGGTCCTGAGCGCGGCCTCGTTCGCCGGCTCTTGGAAGCTGAGCCAACTTAAGTGGGTGGTTCCGTAGTGGATTCATCTCAGGGTCTCCCGATCCAGTGTCCCCTGCGTGCCTGGCCCCGAGCATTATCCCACCGGGAGCTAGAGAGCCCCCGCCCGCTTTCTGGGCGCCGGCGTGCGGGTAGCACTCGGTCTCCAAGAACTTGCGCTGCAGCCTGGATGCCTGTTTTCCGGCTCTTACCTCCAACCGAACCCAAGCTTCTCTGGGGCTCTGTGAATGAATCGAGTCCGGGAGAGAGAATCTGGTGGCTGCAAGGGAACTGAGCTGAGAGCAGCAGAGTGGGGCCAGGAGATGCTGGGAGGACGCGGGCTGCTCAAACGGGCCGCCGAAGTCCTCGGTGACCTCAGATGGCCAAGTCTAAACGCCGAATTTCCACCAGCCTGTCTGCGTTTTGTCCAAGAGCTGGTCGATGGGTGAAAAGCGTGTTGCAGAGAATCTTATAACATTTTCGCTATCTAGTGGAATTGCTCTTTTATTATGGTTGATCTACAAACCCTACACGTGAGAGTTTTTACTTATGCTGAAATAACACATTTATATGAATGTAGGCATTGAAAAATAGCCCATACTTCTTGCTCACGGAGAGTATTATATACTGAGAGCCTTTTCCAATTCTGAGCCAGACACCGCCAGCCTCTGGTGAGTGGAAGGCGGAACCTGTGGTGAATTATAAGACTTCTTTTCTACCCCGTCACTTCTCCCTTTCCCAGAACTCCTTAATTTGTTAATCAGTGAATAGAGGCCGGCGGCCCCTACCGCTCCTTAAGTTTCTCAACTCTCCTTTCCCTTTTGTCTACTGTTATTTCATTCTTTTTAATTAATTGATAAGGATCAGCTTTGCTACCCCCTCCCCCCTCCACAAATCTCAGAGAATTCAACTTTTAAAAGGTTTGTAGTATGGGTGACTTCTTTTAGGAACTTTTTCTCTAATCTGGGCTTTTTTCAAACTGTATCTTTTAAACACATACATTTCCCCAACATGATTTCAGATAAGATATCTCAAAGAGGAAAACTGCGAAGTATTTTTAAACTGCTTCAGTATTCTGAAGAACAGTTCGTGATGCAAATCTCCTTAATATCAAGGTGAAGGTGAAGGTGTTTAGTGTAAATGATTTCTGTCTGTCATTATTTACTTTCCTGAGAACAATTGCTGGGGTTAGATAAATCCTTCAGTATATTTTTAACTACAGTCTTTTCCCCCCACCCCTTTCCCCCTCCATCCCTTGACAATTACAGTGCTTGCTAATAGCTCTGCATTTCTAAAATGAGTGTACTTTGTTAAACTCACTTTCTAGGACTAAGACTACTATTTACTTGAAATTATCAAGGTACAGGTCACTGTGGAACAAGTGAATTATAAGATAATTGTATACTAAGGACATACTTTTTTTCTCAAAACAAACTTTACTCGGTACTACCTATTGCTGTTGAATTTATCACTTAGGAAATATGTCCGTTTATTAAATGAACACACTCTTCCTCTCCTCCCCAGTTCCTCATAAAATTTACATTTCATTATCCGGTGGTGATCCTTTCTTCCAACTCCTTTCCATCCTGTGCCTTGTTTGGACTTTTAATGGTTTGCTTGAGAAAAGGCATATGCCATTTGTTTGCCAGGGAACATGCATTTAAAGGAACCGCTGTTCAGAATTTAGATTCATGAGATCTGTTTCTAATTGAAAGCCATTTGCAGGTAGCTTGCCTGGTTAAAAAAAAGAAAAAGTAATGAGGACATTATGTTTCATCACAGCATTATTAAGATTTACTCAGAACTCACAATTGTGAAATAATGTTGCCCTTTTCTATTCTAAGATAAAAGGGAGTTCTTCAAACTCAACAGATGAGGGACTGTGATGGGTAATATATAAAGTTACCCTCTCAGAGAGTGCTTGGGAGGGAGGAGGCTGTCAGGGGGCAGTTTGTACCATTAATCTTCACTCAGCCTTGATTTTAAAGCATCCCAGGCAGATCAGATGGACTATCTGTCCTGGTTTGAAAGACCTCCAAGGGGGCAGACGCTTAAGCCCCTCTCAGCAATCCATTCTAATACCTAGTCATGCTTGTGGTACCAAAATGTTTCCAGATATCTAGCCAAAAGCCTTCACAGTGTGCTTGCTTATTTTCTCTTGTTCTGTCTTCCAGGAAGATATTGAGCAGGGGATCATCAAGTTCTTTGTAGGGACTGTTACTCTGACCAAAGGTCAGTGTGAAACATCCCAGTCTTTCTTTGAGCACCAGTAATATTATCTCATTTTCCAACCTGACTCATCCTGATGGCTCTGAACTGCTAAAGGAACTCCACAGCTGAAAAGAGCATCCGCTTAAAAGTCTGGGCAATTCAGGAAATGTTGTTTGAGGCTCACTGTGCCATTCTTTTATGATTTGAGCATTCTTTGAGTTATTTATTGTAATACTGTGTAGCTGACTAATGGTACTTACTAGCCTACATGCTCAATTTTTTCATTAATTATCAGATGCAACTATATTTAGCAATCCCATATATGGAAATTTATGTGTACCCAGCACCTATTTGAAAACATTACCAATTTTTAAACATTGAATAAACATTGTCTTACCTGCTCCTTCTAGTAACTTAGAAGGTTATTATTATTATTATTATTTCCGTTTCCCAGATGAAAAGACTGAGCAACAGAGAAACTTAAATAATTAATTTGCCCAAGGATGAGAAAGTGAGGAGGCTAGAATTCAAACCCAGGCACTTGGTTCCATAGACTAAACCATGGCTAATACATTTCTGTATTTGTTGAATGAATGCATTGTAAAATCAGTTTTTTTCTCACCTAATATTGTATTAAACATGGTATTATCAATCACCATATATATTCCCTCAGTTCATGGTGAATATTTTTTATTTATTTGCAAAATCTACAATTTTCAAAATCACTTTGACTTTGGATTTCTGTTCTCAGGAATTGGCCACACTGCCACCACTAAATTGTCCCTGTATTTATGCATAGTCCCTGTCATTTTAGTTGTATAGATTTGGTTATATAAAAGGTAGAATCTAAAGAACTTCTGTTTTGTTTTGTTGTTTCCAATATACCAGGTTCATTGGAATATTGGGTTAGTCCCACAAACCTTGCAATAGGAAGCTATCATGTGGATACAGGGAGAAGGAAAGTTTCTTCAAATTAGGAAAAAAATAATATATAACTAACAGTATTAGTTCTCAGTATTAACTTTGCCCCCTTTTCTGTCTCCGGTATTTTGAGAGTTGGACTACAGCTGAATATTTAAAAAAGTATTAAACAGAAACAGACTCATAGATACAGAGAACAGACTGATGGTTGCCAGAGGGGAGGGCGGTTGGGGGACTGGGAGGAAAAGGTGAAGGGGTTGAGAAATACAAATTGGCAGTTGCACAATACTCATGGGGATATAAAGTACAGCATCGTGAATATAGTCAATAATATTGTAATAACTGTGTATGGTGCCAGATGGGTTCTGGGAATATTGGGGAGACCACTTTGTAAAGCATATGATTGTCTAACAACTATTCTATACACCTGAAATTGAAACAAAATAATATTGAATGTAAACTGTAATTGAAAAAAAAACTAAAAAGAAAGTATTAAACTTTTTTCTCATCTCTTTGATAGTAATTTATCTAAAAAAAACAAAAAAAATCTATCCCAAAGTCTAAAATTTAAAAAAATATAGAACATTCTCTTATACTCTGCTAGTTGACTGGAAACTTTTTGGTTTCAAATTTGAGAAGATGTAATTCTCCCCTTTACCTGGCCTTGGTTCAGTAGTCCTTTTCTTTCATAGGTAGGCTTCCCAAGGAACCTGTCCTCCCTTCTTCTGCTCCCCCAGCAAACCAACTTATTTAATGTGTTTGCCATCAGCACAAATATTTTTTTCAGTTTGCATGCAGATATCACCATAATATAAATGGAAAAACAGTGTTTGGTAACTCTTTAAAGACATGTTAAATTTCCTAGTTGGGGATACATTATTTAATTTCCATTTATCTGCCTGCTGCACTAATCTCTGATTTCCTTTCCCTCCATTTAGTTGGCTGATATCTTTAAAATCATCTCAAAGTGTGAGGTATAAAAGGGTTAGCTGAACAATTTTTTTGTTACTGATTTGTCAAGTCACTAGATTTCTAAAA